AGTATGAAGACGACCAGCCCTCTCTTCATTTTTGTGCGTACTTTCATTCTGCGCAAGAATTTTTCAATTCTGTAAAGCCAATTAAAAGTTATTCTAATAGAAAAAAGTGTCGGTATAGTAGTCACTCCAGCATCCCCTTAAGAGGGACTTGTACAACGCCGTGGTGATGAAATGCAGATTCGTCAGTCTAGTATGTAAGTTTCCCGTTAAAACTCTGCCGGCGAAAGCGTGCGCTGTTACTAGGAAAATTATGAAGCGGAATGTCGAGTGGGTCATTCGTGAAATGAAGGAATCCGAATCTTGAAATTATCTTGCAAAAAGTACCGAGTTGACCGCGCGCGCTGTATCGTTGCCGTTCGTCGAGCCAACTGCCTCACGTTCAACGATTTCTTGCAGCCGAGGAGGTGACGAAGTCGAGCTTCCGCCGCAAGGTGTGGGACTACATGACGAAGAATGAGCTGGTCAACTTCCCCGTCAATATATACAAGCGTATACCGAACTTCAAAGGCGCCGCGGAGGTGGCGCAGTGGCTGATCGAGTTGGACGTGTTTAAGAAGGCAAGAGTCATCAAGATAAATCCAGACAAGCCGCAGGAGCCAGTGAGGTTCTCGGCCCTGGAGGCCAACAAGGTAACGGAACACGTAGGTAAAGGAACACGTGTCACAATTTAACTTACAACGTAGGCGTAAGTACTGTCTGAACATGTGTACGAGGAAAGCGTGTGTTTACTGTTTGTTCACCTTCTTGTGCAGTTGCATCTCTCGACTCGATGGAGTCGAACCGAGCCCTACAGATTCTGAGAGCTTCAGGAATCTTGAGAATATTATCTCTTTCGTGCTGGACAGATTGAGCGTTGTATATTACAGCAATAATTTGTATAGGAAAGCTGCGACTGTGTGCGCATTGAATGCCTTGTTAACGTATAACCAGTCAAACACAAAAGCTTTTCGTAGATGGGTGTACATTAAGAAAATTACGCCCAAAGAAGTCGCAAGCTTAGCTATGCTGGACTGCTTGACCAGTGATGAAGATGAGATAAAGAGCGAACTGGGACTTTCAATCGATATCTCTAAGTGCGA